CGCCAGCGAGCCCGTTGTGCCCGCGGACATTTGTGCCTGTCATGCGCGCGCGCCCGCGCCAGTGACGCCTGTTCATTACTGTTGTTATTGGTCGGCCATCTKGCGACTACGTTTCATTATTAAAGCTTGTTCATTCGTTTACGTCGTTCGTCGTGTTTACTGGCGCTAGTTTTACCATTCCAACATTCCCTTTATGTAGAATCAATACTGAAAATATTAAGGTAGGTGGTATAGGCACTTTAACAGTCGCTATAGATGCATATTAAGTGCTTCCAGTCAACTCCAAAAATGTAATGTGATTGAAATAGCAGTTTTCGTATGACTGTGAAAAGCTCACGGCACGAACACGGTCGTGACACAGCAAGGCACACTCCAGACCAATCACATTGCTCGGAAATTTATTCCCAATCCAATCAAATACCCGGAACACGGCACAAACACGGCGCGGACATGGTCACGGCACTGCCAGACCAAGCACATGCATTACACGAGAAAAGATCAGCCAATTGAAATTCTAGAAAACGCACTGAGCTTTTCAAAGTCATGCGTCGAAAACTGTAAGCAATTTAGCGTCATGTGTTACAGTCTTCACTATACCTTTGCAACTCATTCTTTTGCCAAAAGCGTTCAGGAAAACTGGTTGACACTTGGTGTCCACAACGCATTTGGCTGGTGTTGAAGTCATACATGTGGTGTACTTGCAGGGGTTGAACCGGCAGACTGAATCAGGGTTAATGGTCAGGTAGAGCTCTGTACCTACAACATAAATGCAATTGCATTAGAGTGCATACCATATATACGTCAAAAACTTTGCAAGGAATTGCACAAATTCAGTTCAGTAGACAAATTCAAGTTCAGTAGACCTCAGTAGACCGTAGACCTACAAAACTTTACACTAATTCGTAAAATTTTGTTGTTTAACATTTTTACGGATATGGTATGCACTTTACAATATCTATGTATCAATAGAGTTGACTTTCAAATTCTTCTGCGTCATCAAGCAACGTAATCTTTTGCGAAACAATTGTTGTAGATTTTACGAGCTTTTTGTGCTTATAATACACGCTCGAGAATTTTCCAGTTCTTTGAAGAAACCTTGAATTACCAACGCGCAAACCTGTTTACCGCACGAGCAAGTCAAATTAAAAAGCTTCGCTCTCACTCTGTTCCCAGTCTTTTTGTTCCCCAGTACAAAGAAAGACGCGCCAGTTTTATAACAAATAACTATACGCTAATATTTACCTTTACAAGAGTCAACTCTTTTCTCCTCAGAGTCAAAGAATACTGGCTTACACTTGAAGTCACTGACACAAGTAGCGTATGGCATCGTGATACATTTGGCCACACTGCACGGGTCATACCCACAAACTGTTTGAGGGTCGATGTCCACGACTGAATTTTGATCTGAAGAAACAATTAAATAGTTTGTTAGTCGAAAAACTGGAAGATTCAAGCGCTGTTATATATTGACTTTGAGGAGCTCATCCCCCGTCACCTCTCTTCTTCTTCATTTCCTCCAATCCGTCGCCACAACCATAGCAGGAACTCCTCAAAAACTGAAAATCTCTCGAGTGCGTTACTTGTTTAATTACTAAAAATCAATATTTCTTTAAACTCTACGACAACTTACCATTACACATTTTGCCGTGGCATTTCGCTACCTGTTTTCGTTTCCCAGAGCACCTGCTTCCGCCATTACCTGGGGCAGGATTGGTGCAGTATCTGTATCTGTGCTTTATTCCTGTCCCACATTTATTAGAACACTTACTCCAAGCAGACCACTCAGTATAACGACCTTCAGCTGAAAACACAGACAATTTCAAGTTTGATACAATGGTTTCCAAAGTATTTATACATCAATGGCGCCTTGGGAGGAAGAAACAAAGCCTTATCATGTGATCAGCGAAGAATACACCTGCTTGAGATCTATCATTTCACACCAACTACCTATACATGCATCAAGAGTTCAGGCGCTACTCATCCTCTAGGCGCATGCTCAAGGGGTCATAAATGGAGTACAAATTATAACAAACGTTTCCTTACTAGGACACTCTTTCATCTTGCAAAGCTTCAACTGAAATCTTGGTCCTTCGCAATTCTTGCCTCCATTTGCTGGTGCTGGATTGGTGCAGTATCGTTCACGTGACCGTAGTGCTGTTCTACCACATGACACAGGACACTTGGACCATTCTGTCCACTGTGTGAAACCTCCATCCACTAAAAAACAGCGTTCGTAAAGTTTGTTATCATTTGTCTTCGCTGAATTTATTCGACAACAATTTACTTCTTGAAAAACAGCAATAAAAGTGGCACAGTGTGTTCGCTTTTGAGTCACGTAAATGACTTTTGCATGTTGGCATTATAAGCAAGTGACGTTAACAGTCACTGCAGTCGCTATGTCGAACGGCCTCTAGAGCGAACAATCGATTAAGTGCTTCACAATGGACTACTTCGACGATACGGCGGCCATCTTGGATCGCATTTTGGGGCGTCCAGGGGGCACATAAAGCTTTGTTACAGTAATGACGTTGATTGATACAAATAGCTCACCACAAGAGAATACAACAAAAGATGAATTAAGACAAACACACGAAGCTATATATATTTTTACGTCCTAGCAAGATGGCCGTCGTATCGTTGAAGTAGTCCATTTCTTTATGCAACATACTTGGTATGGTTCCTTGTGCAGCCGTGAAGTTCTGTACAACTGACATCCCTATTGATGATTGGTCAGAAGGCACAGGCTGCTTGCTGCCATCGTTGCTAGGGGAGACAAACCCTTGAAGAGGTGGTGACATCCCGTTATTGGCGGGAAGATTCTGTAGTCCACCAAGAGCTGCTAACTCATTTGAAATTTTGCCATTGGCTAGTCCTGCAAATAAAAGGGATGAATGAAAACCATAAGATATTATCTTTAACAAAAAGGTATAGAAACAAAAACTGTTGCAGACAATTACAGAGGGTTATTAGACGTGACAAAAGAATCTCGCCTATCCGAGGTTCTGGGGTATTTACGTGGTTTTTAAATTTTTTTATAGAATCAGTATCATGACGAAAGTTTCCTATCAACAGTATCATGGCTACATTTTCCTAGTAAGAGTATGTATCAAGGCAACAGTTTCCTAGCAACAGTATCATGGCAACAGTTTCCTAGTAAGAGTATGTATCATTGCAACAGTTTCCTAGCAACAGTATCATGGCAAAAATTTCCTAGTTAGACTATATATCAAGGCAACAGTTTCCTAGCAAAAGTATCATGGCAAAAGTTTCCTAGCAACAGTATAATGGAAATAGTTTCCTAGTAACAGTATCATGGCAATAGCTTCCTAGTAACAGTATCATAGCAACAGTTTCCTAGCAATATTATAATGGCAACAATTTCATAAATGCTGTCAATGTATCTTGTAGAAGTCGCTAAGGCATTCTATACGTAACTTATATTTTTATGGAAAAACAAAAGAGATTTGAGATGATGAAGATGTTGTGGCATGTAATGTGTGCATGCTTACCTAATTTCTTATAGTCTGTAATCAACTGCTTAATGATTCCCTTCAACGCTTTGCCACGTTCTGCATGCAAAGAGGAAGATACAGTATGGCGTTAACATGCTTATAATGTAGATTAACTATTCATTCAGTACACCATGTGCTATACCAAGAATATAAAACACAACAAGATAACATGCTTACATAACATGCACTATGCACACACATGCACGGGTGGATGCCGGCTTACACCATGTGCTATATACCAAGAATATGAAAAACAACAAGATAAGATGCTTACATAACATGCACTATGCACACACATGCATGGATGGATGCCGGCTTACACCATGTGCTATATACCAAGAATATAAAACACAACAGGATAAGATGCTTACATAACATGCACTATGCACACACATGCATGGATGGATGCCGGCTTACACCATGTGCTATATACCAAGAATATAAAACACAACAGGATAAGATGCTTACATAACATGCACTATGCACACACATGCATGGATGGATGCCGGCTTGAAAGACTAAAAGTATATTACAATAGTCAGACAGAAACTCCTTCGCAATTGATCTTTAGTTTAGTATCATTTTTCGATACAGGAATGACTAGATATCGATCATCCACCACCATTACAGGAACATGCAAGGTGAAGCCCAATCATTCATCTTTACTTTGAAACCTTTTTAACCCCTTCACTGATTCCCTTATTTCTAAATCAATATATCGCTTTGGTATAAAATATTTGACTGTAGTTTTCGCAGGATTCGAGAGATATTTGTCTCACCTTTGGCGTAGAAAGTGATGTTAGCTTCAGCATCGCCACCCTTCCAAATACTTGATAGAAGAACCAACACGAAAACAGTCGAAAAGATGACCCGTAAAATCATGTCAAACTTGGCCATTCTTTTCCATAACACTCTTGAAAACAAAAATGTTCGATGGACAATAAAACACACTGTTTTTATACTAAGATCTTGCGTTTATCTCTACTGGAATTACGATAAACAGGGCGTTGTCTGTCCAATCCACACAGGGAATTTGACTCAAACATCGATTATGAATCACATTCCATTATTAGAATAAGTACACGTTAGCTTGCAACCTCCTCAGATACCAGCTCTCAGAGAACCCGTAAATGTATTTCGTTTAAGATTTAGTACACTATCGACAATCTCGTTTAAACCAAGAAAGGTTTGGTTATTGTCAACAGTTTTTGTTTTGTATCTTTTTCAAATTTAAGGAACATTTGGGTAACATAAACAACGAATCAAGTCAATCAAAACATGAATATTTCTAAGGTCTTTTAAGTCTTTTAAAATAGACTTGTGAGGAATTGAAAATAATTCTATACAAATATCACAAGATTTAAGATTTTGATTGATGGAAGCGCTTTGACATTGCTTACAGAAAGTCATTTTTGCGGATGGTGAATCTGGGACTGAAATTGTTGACTTACCTAGCATTTACACATGGTGGTAGAGCTTTACTGGTGGCAGTGAAGACAAGCAACAATGGACAAACTACCCGATAGGATCTAACAGGAGAATAGAGCCACCAAAAAGATGGAGAAGAAAGAATTTGGTAGAAAAAATAATTTTCTTAACCAATGTTTAAAATTGAAATTAAGCGAAAGTTATCGAAGGATTAAAACATTGTATGCTGTTGACATCACAAGGTCACAGACGAGTTGCTGTTTTTGTCAATTATTTAACCAAAAAACTGGTAGAAACCCTTGGAGATTGTCTCGTTTGATTCGCTTTAACAGTCGGATGATCAAGCTGTTGATGCGTTCAGTATCTTTTCGTATTTTTATTAACAAAATTAATGGATTTAAAAACATCTTTAATGCGACGGTAATTATTGAAATATAAGAGATATCAACGAGGATGTATTATATTAGTAATATCTTATTAGCTCTTATTGAATCTTTCTTATCGCGGAAAAAATGAGGGAGTGTTGAATCCACCATCAGATAGACAGCTTACTGAATTATAGAGTCTTAAATCAAGGGTGAAATTTCAAGTCAAACAAAGACAGTGCTATATTTATTGCTCATCATCTTCAAGCAGAGTGCGCTGCATTACTGCACATTTATTTATTTATTATTTTTTATCATTTTTTTAATTTAAAGATTCATCCTAAGGTAGGTGTGAAATACAATAGGACTCTAAGTCCCCTACTAAGGTATTAACACCGGAGATCCAAACCCCTATGATATAATTGGTCTTGGCTTCTTTCCTTCCTTCCTTCTTTCTTTCTTTCTTTC